TATATATATATAAAGGAAGTCCGGTGCATAAAGTATTCTGCATTAATGCAGGGTTCGGGAAGGTATAATGTGACCCATAGCTAAAGTATGATATTACATGTTCAGAGTCTCTTAGTAGCAAGTGGTACGCAAGGATAGATGAGGCACTACGTGCCGGTCTCACCCCAGGGCTCGGGGTGTGACAGGCTGCACCCTAAAAGGGTGTGATATAGACAACACATCCTAATACAAGCTTTTACGGCTCGAACCAGTAACCTGTAGGTTACGCAAAGACAACTTTACCGTTGCTCAAAGTGTCCTCTTTAGATGAATAGAATATAATGTATAATAAAAATATTTGTTTGATTTTAAGTCGGATACAATTTTGTTTACAATTTTACTCTTAATTTTAGAAGTGTATTAGAAAAAAACAATTTTCTATACTGTTTTCTTCCTAACAATACTTATTGATATCTCAGACGCATTTAAATTATGACAAATTTGATGAAAAGATTTATGCTGGTTACGTTCTTGCAAATTTTTTTGGAAGAAGTAGCTAGAGCCTAGAGTCGTCTGCGTTGTTTGTGATTCTTTTGTTAAAAATAAGTAATTTTGTCATTTACGATAATCTATTAGATCATTATATAATTATTTTATTATCTTTGCTGTTAGTTTTCTATATTAAATAAGATTTTTTAAAAGAAGATAATTAACTAACCACTTTTATTTCATTCAAACAGGGATTACATTCATCTAAGCAACAAAGAAGTGCACGTGTCATTCTTCGGTTAACTTCAGCATTCAAAGTTACTGATCCGACTAATTCGAATTCATACCGAGGAGGCCCAACTATGACGTGTAAAACACTATTTATCAAGAAGTTCTTAGCTCAAGTTCGAGATTGTTGATTAAGGCGGAGGGATCACAACCATTCCGCTACACTTCTTGATGATAAAAAAATATGTATAGGCAAACCACGTATATAAGAAGCTCCATTTCTTTTTAAATTAATTAAAATTTGTGCTTTGTGCCACAAAATCCCAAGTCCAAAACAGACAATCCAAATAGGAGGAAATATATTCATGATCTACGAAGGTTTCAATTACATGTTTCTTTAATAAAATATTAGTGCTTTGTGCCACATACTTCTTCCATACCATTTGCTATTTTGAGGATGATTTGTTTATGTTGTTCGAATTTTTTAAAAATATTGTAGGGTATTTGTCAACTCTTCTGAAATTAGTATAATCTTTTGAACAATCGACCCGAATTTTATAATATTTTTAAAGAGTTAAAACAATATAGATTCTTATTGAGTTTCGTGATATTCAAAGGAAATATTAGGAATCAATTATTAGTAGTCCACATATGCTAATACTGTAATTGTAAGTGGTATGTTATAAAATAATCCATGGATTTTCAATTTTTTTTATATAATATTATGTTGGATTTATAAGGATTTTCACACTTAAATTAAATCGCATTTTGATGAACGTTTAAAGAATGCGACTTTTATAATCGCATTTTGTCACGATCCGAATTTTTCATCGTCGGGACAAATTATTTCACCTTTTTATTTTATCTTTTAGCAGTTTACAAGTTAACAAAAGTAAATCAGCGGAATAAATGCGGAAGAACAGAATTTAACATATTATCTTAATACTAATAACGAAACCATAATAAAACTCCACCCAGAACTGGTTCACAACTCACGAACGGTCTATGAATACTACAAACAATGGTCTGAACAAAAAAATGTATATCTGTTTCGAAAGTAGATAAACATAATAGAAATATGATAGAAGTGGACGCCAGGGCCTGCAGACGCCTGCAGGACTACCTTGGGTCTCCAATGGACTGAAGGCAGCCACCCGACTCTACTCACAAGGTCCGACACCGTGATCTGCACAGAAAGTGCAGAGTGCAGTATCAGTACAACCAACCCCATGTAGTGGTAAGTGTCGAGCCTAACCTCAGCGAAGTAGTGACGAGGCTAGGACACGACAACCAACATAAACATGTGCAGATAAACGATATACCAACAGAATAACAATAATAGAAGCTAAATAGAAATTAACAGGAAGGGGAAACATGCAATAGGGTTACCGGAATAAGGAATCACAGTAGTAACAGAAATTAAACAATTAATACACTTGAACCGATAACAACAATTAATCACAACAAACAGAAAATGCACGGCATCACCCTTCGTGCTTTTACTCTCAATCCTCACCATACAGTCAATAATAGAAATGTGCACGGCATCACCCTTCGTGCTTTTACTCTCAATCCTCACCATACAGTCAATAATAGAAATGTGCACGGCATCACCCTTCGTGCTTTATCACTCTTCATAACCATATGAATAATAGAATTGTGCACGGCATCACTCTTCGTGCTTTATCTATCTTCCTCACCATATGCATCAATATAAATATAAAAGTGCACGGCATCACCCTTCGTTCTTTATCACACTTCCTCACCATATGCATAAGTATGAATGTGCACGGCATTACCCTTCGTGCTTTATCATTCTTTCTTCACCCAAACAATAGAAACAATAACATCCCGGCAAAGGAATCAGCTATAATCAATCTCGTTTCAACAGTTAAATTCACAATGTAAGTCTCAACTTGAGTCAACAATCAACAATTACCCAATAACAAGAAAATATAACCAAACTTGTTCAACATGAAGAGTAACCAGCTTAAGCATGAACAATACGTAATAAAGGCACAATGGTTAGAAATATAAGGCTCATTTGCATACTATCACCAAACAACAACGTATAGATACTCGTCCCCACACCTATACATCGTACTCAACAATTATACAAGTAGCAAGTAAGACAACAACACCTATTCCCTCGATCTAAGGTTAGACCAAACACTTACCTCGATTCCACGGCTAAAAATCAAGACTCAACTACCACTTTTCCTTTGATTTCCACTTCCAAACCGCCCGAATCTATGCATAATTAACTAATTAACATCAATTAACGCTAAATAAACCAATTCTAATGAATGAGTATAGATTTCCCAATATTTTCCCCAAGAATCAAAAACCGAACCCGGGCTCGCTTGGTCAAAACTAAAAGTTTGGTTCAAAACCCGATTACCCATTCACCCACGAACCCAAATATGCAATTGGTTTTGAAATCCGACCTCAATTTGAGGTCCAAATCCCCAAATTTTGAAATTCCTAATTTCTACCCCAAAACACCCAATTTCCTATGAAAAACCCTAGATTTTGAGATGAAATCATGTAAAAAGATGAAATATATTGAAGAAAATGAGTTAGAAATCGTTTACCTATGATTTGGAGAAGTTTGGGTCTTTGAAAATTGCCTAGGGAGGTTTAGGGTGTGAAATTTTGAGAAATGAGTTCAAAATCTCGTCTAAGCCCCAACTTAACAAGCGCAAATGTCGCAATTGCGACCTGAGCTTCACAATTGCAAAGCTCGCAAATGCGAGAACCATCAAACCACTGCTGCCTTCGTAATTGCGAAGGAATGTTTGCAATTGCGAACGCCAACCTCCGCAATTGCGACAAAAAGATCGCAAATGCGATCAACCCCTCCTTCCCAGACTCTCTTCGCAATTGCAAAGTAATGTTTGCATTTGCGAACTAAGCCGGCCCAGGCCTTCTTCGCATTTGCGATAAAGGCCTCGCAATTGCCATAACAGTTTTCCTCGCAATTGCGAGATCAGAGGCCAACACCAGAACTGTAGCACCTGCAATTTTTTTTCCAAGTCCAAAACAATTTTTAGCCTATCCAAAACTCACTCGAGCCCTCGGGGCTCCAAACCAAATATGCACACAAGTCTAAAAAATCATACGGACTTGTTCGTACGATGAAATTGCCAAAATAATATCTTAAACAACGAATTTAACACCAAAACTAATGAAATTTTCAAGATAGTTCAAACTTCCTATTTTTTCAACCAAAGGTTCGAATCATGTCAAATTACTTCTGCTTCACACCAAATTTTACAGATATGGTTTAAATATTATAACGGACCTGTACCGGGCACCAGAACTAAAATACGGACCCGATATCATCAAGTTCAAACATTATTCAATTTCTAAGATTCTTTATATTTTCCAGCAAATACTTTTCTTCAAAAATTCATTTCTCGGGCTAGGGACCTCGGAATTCGATCCCGGGCATACGCCTAAGTCCCATATTATACTACGGACCTTTTCGGGATCGTCAGAGCACGGGTCCAAGTTCGTTTACCCAAAACATTGACCAAAGTCAACTTTAATTAATTTTAAAGGTAAATTTTCATATTTTTCTTAAATTTCACATGAAAGCTTTCAGAAAACATACCTGGATAGTGCACGCAAATCAAGGAGGAAAAAAATGAGGTTTTCAAGGCCTTGGAATCTGGATTCGGATTCTAAAACACAAGATGACCCCTTGGGTCATCACATTCTCTACCTCTAAAATAACCGTTCGTCCTCGAAAGGACATAGAAAAGTATCTGAGTCAATGAAAAGATGAGGATATTGGCTCCGCATATCGGACTCGGACTCCTAAGTAGCTGCCTTAACAGGATGACCTCTCTACTACATACGAACTGACGGAAAAATCTTCGATCTCAACTGTCGAACCTACCGGTCTAGAATATCCTCTGGCTCCTCCTCGTAGGTCAAGTCCTTGTCCAACTGGACAGTGCTGAAGTCTAACACGTGGGATGGATCGCCGTGATACTTCCGAAGCATCGACATATGAAACATTGGATGCACAGCTGATAAACCTGGCGGCAATGCAAGTCTGTAAGACACCTCTAGCTCTCTATCAAGGATCTCAAAAGGCCTGATGAACCTAGGGCTTAGCTTGCCCTTCTTCCCAAATTTCATCACGCCCTTCATGGGCGACACCCGAAGCAACACTCGCTCTCCGGCCATGAATGCTATATCACGAACCTTATGGTCGGCATAACTCTTTTGGCTGGACTGAGATGTATGAAGCCTATCCTGAATAATCTTAACCTTATCCAAGGCATCCTGTGCTAAATATATACCCAACCACCGAGCCTCTCCCGGGTCAAACCATCCAACCGGCGACCGATACCGTCTACCATATATGCCTCATAGGGAGCCATTTGGATGCTCGACTGATAACTGTTATTGTAGGCAAACTACGCTAACTGCAAGAACAGATCCCACGAACCTCCAAAGTCAATAACACACGCTCGGAGCATATCCTCCAAAATCTGAATAGTACGCTCGGACTGCTCGTCCGTCTGAGGATGAAATGCTGTGCTCAACTGGACTCGCGTACCCAACTCATGATGTACTGCCCTCAAGAAGTGCAAGGTAAACTGCATACCTTGATAAAAAATGATAGACACAGGCTCACCATGAAGATGAACAATCTCACAAATGTAAATCTCTGCAAACCGCTCAGAAGAATAGGAAACTGCCACAGGAATGAAATGCGCTGACTTGGTCAGCCTATCCATAATAACCTATACTGCATCGAACTTCCTTTGAGTCCGTGAGAGTCCAACAACGAAGTCCATAATGATACGCTCCCACTTTCACTCAGGAATCTCAATCTTCTGAAGTAAACCACTAGGTCTTTGAAGCTCGTACTTTACCTGCTGTCAATTCAAACACTGAGCTACATACGCAATAATATCCTTCTTTATCCTTCTCCATGAGTAATGCTGCCACAAATCCTGATATATCTTGCCGACGCCCGGATGAATAGAATATCGGGAACTATGGGCCTCCTCTAGAATCAATTCACAAAGTCCATCCATATTAGGCACACAAACTCGACCCTGCATCCTTAAAACTCCGTCATTTCCATATGTAACCTGCTTGGTACCTCCGTGCCGCACTGCGTCTCTAAGGACAAGAAAATGAGGATCATCATACTACCGATCTCTGATACGCTTAAATAATGAAGAACGAGCGACTCTAAAAGCTAGAACACGGCTGGGCTTAGAAACATCCAACATTATGAACTAATTGACTAAGGCCTGAACATCCAAAGCAAGCGGTCTCTCACCGACTGGAATATATGCAAGGCTGCCCATACTGGCTGACTTCCTACTCAAAGCATTAGCCACTACATTGGCCTTCCCAAGATGATACAAGATGGTGATATCATAGTCTTTCAATAGCTCCAACCACCTCCTCTGCCTTAAATTTAGCTCCTTTTGTTTGAACAAGTATTGCAAACTCTTGTGGTCCGTGAACACCTCACATGATACGCCATATAAATAGTTCCTCCAAATCTTCAACGCGTGAACAATGGCTGCAAGCTCCAAGTCATGAACTAGATAATTCTTCTCATGGATCTTCAACTGTCGCAAAACATATGCAATAACCTTGCCATTCTGCATCAACACTGCACCAAGTCCAATACGAGATGCATCACAATATATCGTATATGGCCCTGAACTTGTGGGCAATACCAACACCGGCGCCGTTGTCAAAGCTGTCTTGAGCTTCTGAAAGCTCGCCTCACACTCGTTCGACCACCTGAACTGGGCACCCTTCTGGGTTGACCTAGTCATCGAGGCTGCTATAGATGAAAACCCCTCCATAAACTGACGGTAATAACCCGCCAAACCCAAGAAACTCCGGATCTCTATAGCTGATGTGGGTCTAGGCCAGTCCTTGACTGCCTCAATCTTCTTAGGATCCACCTGAATACCCTCTACTGATACGACGTGACCCAGGAATGCTACTGAACTCAACCAAAACTCACATTTCGAAAACTTAGCATACAACTGGCTGTCTCTTAGAGTTTGAAGGACGACTCGAAGATGCTGCTCATGCTCCTCCCAACTACGGGAGTAGATCGAAATATTATTAATGAAAACAATCACAAAGTAATCCAGATAAGGCTTGAAAACCCGGTTCATCAAATCCATAAATGTTGTTGGGGCATTTGTCAACCCAAATGACGTCACTAGAAACTCATAATGCCTATACCGAGTGCGAAAAGCTATCTTAGGGACATAGGATGCCCTAATCCTCAACTGGTGGTAGCCAGACCTCAGATAAATCTTTGAAAACATCTTGGAACCCTAAAGCTGATCAAATAAATCATCAATCCTCGGTAATGGATACTTGTTCTTGATGGTGACCTTGTTCAGCTACCGATAATCTATACACATCCTCATCGATCCATCCTTCTTCTTAATAAATAGCACTGGCGCACCCTAGGACAAGACACTAGGTCTAATAAAGCCCTTATCAAGCAGTCTTGCAACTGTTCTTTCAATTCTTTCAGCTCTGGCGAGGCCATATGATACTACGGGATAGAAATGGGTTGGGTGCCCGGAGCCAAATCAATGCAAAAGTCAATATCCCTGTCGGGTGGCATCCCCGACAGGTCTGTAAGAAATAACTCAGGAAACTCACGAACAACTGGCATAGAATCCATAGAAGAAACCTCAGCACTAGAATCATGAACATACGCCAAACAAGCCAAACACCCCTTATCGACCATACGCCGAGCCTTCATATAAGAGATAACCTTACTGGTAGAATGACTAGGAGTCCCTCTCCACTCCAATCGAGGCAACCCCGGAAATGCTAAGGTCACGGTCTTGCCGTGATAATCCAATATGGCATGATAAGGTGACAACCAATCCATCCCTAAAATGATATCAAAATCCACCATATCGAGAAGTATGAGATCTACACGGGTCTCAAGACCCCCAATGACAACCACACACGAACGATAGATATGATCTACAATAATAGAATCACCCACCGGTGTAGACACGTATACATGAGCACTCAAAGAATCACGAGGCACAACCAAATACGCAGCAAAATAAGATGACACATGGAAGTATGTAGACCCTAGATCAAATAGAACTGAAACATCTCTACTACAAACTAAAACCGTACCTATGATAACTGTATCGGAGGACTCACCCTCAAGTCTGGATAGGAAAGCATAACATCGGGGATGTGCCCCACCACTCTAAACTACATCCTTGGGACAACCTCCTGCTGGCTGGCCTCCACCTCTAGTGGTCTGACCTCCACCTCTAGATGCCTGACCCCCACCTCTAGATGGATGATCGGGCGGTGGAACACCCGGTGCTGGAACTATGGCACGAGAACCCTGATGCTAAGAACTGCTCAAGGCTCGAGGGTAAAATCTAGCAATATGCCTTGTATTGCCACAAGTATCACAAGGCTTCGACTGCTGAGATTGCTGACCTTGAAACTAACCCTGTCGGCTTGAGTAACCACCCTGAAAACTCTGTAGCAGAGGTGAACTGATAAGAGCTGGTAGTGCACTGTAGGGTAGCTGATCAGAATACTACATATGAGAACCACAGCCACCTGGAGCACCGTGATAAGCCTGAAGTGCTAAATGAAATGGCCTGGGAGGATGGCCTCTACCAAAAGAATCCCTGCCTCCAAGCGAGGCACCACTGAATCTGCCAGAATGACAAGGCCTCTTGTCAGACCCCTGACCACTCACCTGGGATAAAACCATCTCAACTTGCCTGGCCACATTGGCCGCATCCTGAAAAGAAATCTCGCTCCCTGTCTCCTTAGCCATCTGCAATCTAATAGGTTGAGCGAGTCCCTTAATAAACCTCCTCACCCTCTCTCTTTCGGTGGGGAGTGTAAGAAGAGCATGACGGGCCAAATCAATAAACCTCATCTCGTACTGGGTGACAGTCATAGAACCCTGTTGAAAACGCTCAAACCGCCTACAATACTCCTCTCTCTAAATGACGGGAAGGAATTTCTCGAGAAATAGCCGCGAAAACTGGTCCCAAGTGAGAGTTGGTGACCCATCTGGTCTGGCCAAACAATAATTCCTCCACCATTTCTTGGCGAAACCTGATAGACGAAAAGCAGTAAAGTCGGCCCCATTGGTCTCCACTATCCCCATGTTCTGAAGGACCTCATGGCAGCTGTCCAAATAGTCCTGGGAATCCTCTAAAGATGTACCGCCATAAGTAGTCGTGAAAAGCTTCGTGAACCTGCCCAATATCCACAAGGCATTTGATGGCATAGCTGATCCATCACATGTGTGAGCTACAACACCCGGTAGAACTACTCCAACTGGCTAAGCTACTGGAGTCTGAAACTGGGGATCCATCTGCTCTGGAGTGCAAGTAGCGGGAGTTTGTGTTCCTCCCCCAGCCTGAGAGACGGCTGGTGATACAGGAAGTATGCCTGCCTAAGTGACACTCTCCATAAGGCCCACTAGATAGACCAAATCATCCTGGAGTACCGAGGTAGCGATGAACCCCTCTAGAACCTAAGTTGGGCCCGCAGGAACGGTCCGGGTTAGAACCTCATCATCAAACTGTACCTGAGGCTCCACCACTGGTGCTGCTAATCTGGGTTGAGCCCTGCCCCTGCCTCTAGCACGGCCTCGGCCTCGTTCTCTGCCCCTCGTAGGAGCTACCGTTGAGGGCTCGGGTTGCTGATCAGCTGATGAAGTAGTATGTGTTCTCGCCATCTGCGAAAAAATAGAGTAGAAGTTCAATTAGCATTGAGAAGTCAAATCGCACGATAAAGAAGAATGGATGTGAAGTTATTCCTAAACTCTATAGCCTCTTGGGGATAAGCACAAACGTCTTTGTACCGATCCTTCAGACTCTACTAAGCCTGACCGTAAATTGTGATACCTAAGCAACCTAGAGCTCTGATACCAACTTATCACGACCCGAATTTCCCACAGTCAGGACCGTGATGGCGCCTAACATTATACTTGCTAGGCAAGCCAACGTTACAAATTATTTCACCCTTTTCTTTTATCTTTTAACAGTTTACAAGTTAACAAAAGTAAATCAATGGAATAAATGCGGAAGAACAGAATTCAACAGATTATCTTAATATTAATAACAAAACCGTAACAAAACTCCACCCAGAACTGGTGTTACAACTCACGAACGGTTTATGAATACTACTGTCGCGCCCCCTTTTTCCCTCTTTGCATCAGAAAATTGGGTTTATGATATTGGGTATAAGACAACTCATTCCTTTTGGGAACTGAGTTTTGCATTTGAAGAGTCGCCACCTAATGATTTAAGGTGCATTAGGACACCTATAGGGTTCATTTCTAAGTTTTCTTGATAACCTGAGATAAGGTAAGGGCTTAAAATTATCCTAAGGGGAAGGTGTTAGGCACCCCTCAAGATCCACTAGTGTGGTTCCCGGCCAGATAGTTCTGTAAATTTGTACAGTTAGCAAATAGACAAGTATATGCTCAAATAGTAGGGGATTTAGGTTTAAACACATAAGAGTTTGAAAGAACAATTAAAGGCGAACTTTGAAAAAAGGAGTCACATTTTTACAGATACTTAGGAATATAAAAGGAAAGGAAAAGGGGAGGGGGTCCTAGGTTTATTTATAATATGGATCACATCAATGCGATACTCGATATGACACTCCTCATAAGAGGGGATACACGTGGTATTAGCGCACCGGTCATCATATCCATATCTACCCTTCCCACCCCGTCGAGGTATTAAAGCGCAGATTGGTCTCGACCACTATTGCATGCTATTACTCGTCCCACCCCTATCAGTCCGGAGGAACTTAGGACTACTATTCTTAAAGGGGAGGGATATTAGGCTGACTTTTAGGTTTCAAAAGGTGAAAAAAGCTAAGGCGACATACAAAAACACATAGGACTTCATATTATGGGAAACATGTAAACAACTAAGAGGCTCATGTATACCTCCTCAAACAAAGCACATAAATAGCATTACTTAAACACAGTTAGGGTCTGAATTTAAGGTACTAAGGCAAGGAGAATTTTAATTTTTGAGGCAGACTGGTTTATTACATAACTCAGATAAGAAGTCTGAATCAGGTTTGCCTACTGGTTGTAGCAATTACTGATTAACAAAAGTAGGTTCAGTTTTTATTGTCATTAGCACCTAAGGCTTACCTAAGTATTTGGATGAGATCCTATAAACATGATATCTATTACTGATTCAGGATGTGGCAAAGCAGTAACAACTCTAAAACAAACGACTTGAGATCCTATAGACATGCTTTCTAAACCGCGTTAAATAAAGGAGTAAGGCTGTTTAAAATTAATTCAGAATAATACGAGTTAGGCTGATTTTAAACTAGACTGGTTTCATATTCTATAGATATTGATATCCATTATTGCTATTTTTAATTCCTATAGGTATGATATCGGATTAAACGATACTGATTTTAACCTATTGGACATGATGCCAGATTATAACCAATTAGATCCTAAGAGCATGGTATCTAAGTATGGTAATAAATATGCAGAATTTAAAATGAATCCTATAGGCATATTATCTAAACGCAGAATTAGACATGCTGAATTTAAACAAGCCCTATAGACAGGTTCTCTAAATGCAAAGTTAAGCATGCAGAATTTAAAACAATAGATCTTATAGGCATATTCTCTAAATGCTGAATTAAACATGCAAAAAATAATTCCTATAGACATGTTCTCTACCCTTCTAATAGTTACGCATGCACAATTACCTAGCCCTTTTCACTAGCCAACCCCAATGTTCATTACATATTATTACAAACAGAATAATGAATTACATCAGAAAAGTGTAAAAGAAGAAGTTACAACCAGAGGAAGCCTAATTCTTGCCTTCCTCTCTAAGTTATGGAATAAACCACCTCAAATGCCATTTGTTCCAAAGCCTTTCTCAGACTTGAGTGTGTCACAGTTCCCTAAGGGTCTCAAGGGACCCCGAGTGTCACACCCCTTTTTTTTACAAAACTCCACTAAACCCTCTTAAATTAATAAAAGGATTTTGTAAAGCTCAAAAGAGTTTTCAATTAGAAAGTGACAAAAATTTATGTTTAAAAGAATTAACTCAGAGTCGTCACCTGACATTTGATTTCGGTGTGTCAGGTCACCGTTTTTTTTAAAAAAAATAATTTTTCCTTTTAAAATACTTTGGACTCCAAAACTAAGTCTGCACCAGAGATTTGGGTAAGGGGGTTCATTTGACTCGGGGAGAAGGTGTTAGGCATTCCCCGAGTCTCGTGAAGGTCACAGTTGCGTACTCGATCTAGTTGGCTTTTAAGATATTCAAATTGAGGTAAAAATAAACACATAAAAGAAAAATAAATGCACGAGGCACGAGTTCATCCCCACCTAATAAAATAAAATGACAAAAATAAAATACTACAAACCTATATGCGCCTCCTCAATGCTCGTCACGACCTCTAAAATATTTACAAAGTTCTTCGAGGCATTCCCCGAAATAGAATATTTACAAATCCTTCGGGGCATTCCCCGGACAAATTTAACTAAAAGGGGCGGCCTCTCACCTCATATAAAAGAAAAGAAAAGAAAAGAAAAATCCTAATAATATTCGCCTACCCGAACATTAACGACCTAAACATACTACTAGCGATAAGAAATAAATAAAAACAACAAAGACATTTGATAAATCCAAATAAAAGATGATGCCTCTGATCAACAAACAAAGAAAAGAGATACGAGAAATAGCATAAATACATATAAAAAATAGATCAAAGTATGATGCTGGCTTACTTGACAATTTGACTAGAAAGTCTCTTTTAGGAAAAATAGCTTCATGCTCAAACAGTAGTTACCAATGCTTGTCTCTTCTTAGTTTGATCCACACGACCCATTTCGAGCAGTCATTTGAGCAAGATTTTCTTTCCGTTAACGAGAATTTAATTACAGCAAACCCGACGATTGAAATCCGACTTTAAAAATGCAACAACAGTAGGAGATTGATCTGCGGACCGCAGAAATAACCTCGAACGACATCAACGAATTGAATCCTCACCGAAAAACCAAATAATCGATGAGATCCGGAATCCGACGAACTCGACGCAATCTCTACTTGAACTAGAAGGTACGCTGAAACTCAAAGAGTAAACCAAAACGGAGGTGATGACGGAAGAATAAAAAAATGGGCTGCGAGAGAGTGACAGGGACAGAGCTGCCTTCTTCCGTTGCTAAGGATTTCCTCAATTTCTGTCGTTCTCCCTTCTGTCCGTTCATACGTCCC